AGCCGGAAGTGGCACTGTGGCTCAAGTGATAGAGTGCTAGCCTTGAGCTGAAGAGCTGAGGGACAGCACCAGGCCCAGAGTTCAGGCCCCACGACTGGACCCAAAAAAAAAATAGCCTACACATCACATTAGTAAACAGCTGGTCAGATTTGCACAAGACTTGCACAAGAACACTAACCACCTTGGTGAGGAGACCTATCCTCAGTTGTACTAGTTACGACAGCCTCATTTAGTTGATGAGAGTTTAAGCCTAAGTATATGGTGTTTTACAATTTAGAATTGTTAAGTTTCCAAATTCCTTAAAGCCTAAACATCCTTAACATTTTTGATAACTTGAGGAAATAGTTACAGATGTGAAGTGAGGTGAACTTCTATGCTTCTGGCCCTCTGGAATGTCAGAGCTCATTGTGGTTTGGCTTTACCTGCTCTGTCTGCAGGTTTATTAAGCTTCCCCCTCTAAGTCAGGTGCGAGTGGCTCATGCCTGTAGTCCTAGCTACTCAAGAGGCTGAGATCTGAGAATCATGGTTCAAAGCCAGGCCAGGTAGGAAAGTCCCTGTGACTTTTACCTCCAGTAAACTACTCAGAAAAAGCTGGATGTGGTGCTGTGGCTCAAGTGGTAGAGCTCTAGCCTTGAGCTGAAGAAGCTCAGGGACAGCTCCCAGACCCTGACTTCAAGCCCCAGGACTGGCCAAAAACAACAACCCTCCTGTCTAGGGACATGAATCTTTCTTTCTTTTCTTTTTTTTTTTTTTTTGTCAGTCGTGGGGCCTGAACTCGGGGCCTGGGTGCTATCCCTCAGCTCTTCAGCTCAAGGTTAGTGCTCTACCACTTGAGCCACAACGCCACTTCCGGCTTTTCTTTTTGCTTATGTGGTGCTGAGGAATTGAACCCAGGGCCTCATGCATGCAAGGCAAGCACTCTACCACTGAGCCACCTTCCCAGCCCTTTTTTAAACTTCTTTAAAAAATTTTTTTCAGTGTTGGAAATCAGATACCCAGTGTTTCATGAATACTAGGCAAACACTATTATCCAGCCCATATTTTTACAACTTAAAGTAATTATTTTAAGAAGCACAGCATATTAAGCTTCTTTCCCACTGGGAGAAGTTTGAACTGTATTTAGGAACTTGACACAGGACAGATATCTGATTCTTTTAAAATCTTCTCTCTTTTTTTACCCCCTTATTAAGGAAGCATGGTTTACATTGAACACAATGCTTTTTGAGTTGTACAAGCTGTTTAGGGTATTGACTCAGTGTTGGATGTAATACATCCCAGGACATGTGTAGAAGAGTATAAAGGTGAAATTTTGCTCTTTTGTGGGCTCTTACTGTTTTCTGGACTTAACTCTCAGAAACAAGTTTATATGCTGTACTTTTACCAGGAAGTTTGCCACAGGTATATGGACACCTGGGCCTTGGCAGGAAATCCATTTGATATGTTACTTCTGAGGAGCCTGCCAGAGCTGGGCTCCAATTGGAGGCTGTGGAGCAAATGGCTTGAGGCAGTTATGTTTCACACTTAAGGAGAGATCTCTAATTGGCATGTATTACCCTTCAAGAATGTCAAAACTGTAGATTCAGGAACTCCAGTTTGTTCCTGGGAGCTGATATGAACTATAGATTTTCTATACCTCTTGCATTCCCATTATTTGATTGGCTTGAATTATCTGTTTACATCTCAGAGCCAGTTGCTGATGGTTCATGCCTATAATCCTAGATACTTAGGAGGCTAAGATCTGAGGATTATGGTTTGAAGCCAGTCCTGATAGGAAAGTTTGTGAGACTCTTCTTTCCAGTTAACCACCAAAAAGCTGGAGTGGAGCTATGGCTCAAATGGTACAGCAGTATTAGCCTTGAGCAAAAAAGCTCAGGAACAGCACACAAGTCTTGAATTCAAGTCCCAGGATCAGCACCAAACAAAACAAAAGAAATAAAAATAAATGAAATGACATCTCAGACCACTCTGAGTAATGAAGAGATATGAAAGTATGATTAGACACAGACTATGTTGATGGCACCCTCACATACAGACGGGTGTTTTGAGAAGTAAAACATCATCTTGACACATAGCTGATTTTTGGAACTCATGGCTGATTTTGGTGATTTGAAGAGCAGTTTAGCTGAGCAACAGAATGAATTGATAACCGGTCTTATTGCTGCTTCAAAGTATTCCACAATAGGAAACATGTTGACATTTTGGTTTGATGTAAACCTTTTCATTCAAGTTACCCTGCACTATTGAAGTCTTGTACCAAGCTGGTTGTATCTATGATATGGTTGCTCAGTTTCTGCCCTGGTGCTGTCCTGTGCAGGCTCTGAAGCATGAGCTCTTCAAACTGGTTTTCACCAGTGACCCAAACAAACCCTAAGCCCTTCAAGCCCTTCTGATTCCTGCCAGAGAAGCCGGAAGGAACAGTTTGTGTTTTGTTCTTAAGGAAGTTATTTACTTAAAACACAAATAAGGGTGTGGATGACAAGTTATTTTGGATTGTAGCCTTAAAAAAAAAAAAACAAACCAGATTAATCACTTTTTTTACAGACAAAGGATTTTTTAAAAATAAAACATCCAATGTGATTAAGTTTACATGAATGTTCTTATATATATACAGTTCTAAACTTTATCCCCAATATAGGCCCTCATTTGAGGAGTGGTAATAAGGGAATGTTATTAATGTCCAAAGGCTATTGTTTTCTACTCCAAGTCAGGATCTTTCAATGTGGGCAACAGGCAGTTTGCTTATACTATTAGGTAATAAAGTCAACCAGTTCTGGAAACTCTTGTAATTCAGATATCCTGCTTTTTTTATTTAATTGTATTTAATTACATTAAAAAAAAATTTTTTGGTGGTCCGGTCGTGGGGCCTGAACTCTGGGCCTGGGCTCTGTCCCTCAGCTCTTCAGCTCAAGACTAGTGCTTTACCACTTGAGCCACAGTGCCAATTCCGGCTTTTTTTTTTTGCTTATGTGGTGCTGAGGAATCGAACCCAGGGCCTCATGCATGCAAGGCAAGCCCTTTACCACTGAGCTACCTTCCCAGCCCCCAACCTGAATTTATTATGAGATCTCCAAAGAAAAAGAGAAAGTGTGGGGGGGAAGCACCATTATGGGTTTAGAACATTTCCTTGTTAACTTTGTGGACTTTTCTAATACAGATTTTATACTCCAGATGATTTTTTTTTGAGGGGGTGGTCCGGTTCTGGGCCTGAACTCTGGGCCTGGGCTCTGTCCCTCAGCTCTTCAGCTCAAGGCTAGCACTCTACCACTTGAGCCACAGTGCCACTTCCAACTTTTTTTTTTCTGCTTATGTAATGCTGAGGAATCGAACCCAGGGCCTCATGCATGCAACGCAAGCGCTCTACCACTGAGCCACTTTCCCAGCCTTAAAAGGAATTATTCTTGTTTGGTATTTCTTCTTTTCACTACCGCTGATTTTCTCTAAATTTAACTGCAAAACAGTAACTTAAAAACAGGATAATCCTAGGTACTTAGAAGGCTGAATTCGAGGATCATAGTTCAAAGCCAGCCTGGGCAGAAAAGTCTGTGAGACTTTTATCTCCAATGAACTACTCAGCAAAAACCAGAAATGGCGCTGTGGCTCAAGTTGTAGAATGCTAGCTTTGAGCACAAAGAGGCTCAGGAACAGCTCCCAGGCATCCAGGCATTGAGTTCAATCCCCAGGATTGCCAAAAAAGAAAGCCAGACTAGTGAGATCAGAGAATATTTTTTTTTCTTTATTTCTTTCCAAGCCTGGTATTTTTTTGAGGACCTCTCTTTCTCTCTCTTTCTCTCGCTTTCTCTTTCTTTCTCTCTCTTTTGTGAGATGTTTCTGTTATACTGAAGACACATTTTACTACTGCCATTCAGAAATGGGAAATAATAGTCTGTTACTTGTGTATGTTCTTAGTTACAAAGTAATAATAGCCTACACAGGGCTGGGAAGGTGGCTCAGTGGTAGAGTGCTTGCCTTGCATGCATGAGGCCCTGGGTTCGATTCCTCAGCACCACATAAGCAAAAAGAAAAAAGC